GAAATGCATCACTATTATTGGTTTGAGTTAAATAATATGTATAATACTAGCCTTACCCAGTGTGCTTTGCTACCCTAAAAGCAGTATAAATAAAAAAACCCACTTAACGATTTTGAAGATTCTTACTGCAATAGTTCTCTAGATTTACAATATGTTACATATTAGAGATGCCAAGCAAATTACTGAAAGCTCGCCAATTTCTATCTATCTATGAAAAATTTTAATAATATAATAGTTTCCAAGATATACGAAATTTTGTATTTAATTCATTTATGTAGTGCCAAGCCCCCAATTGAAAGCTCGCCCGTTATTCTCTAAATGTTCACATGAATGTCAGAGTTTTTTATGTAAAATTTTAAGATTCTAGCTCTAGTAGTTTCCAGATATACAATTATTCTATTTCATTAATGTGGGGGCTTCAAGCTCCCCAGATGAAAGTCCGATCTTTTTCCTCCAAAATATTCAGATGATTATTGAAGTAATTTCTGCAAAATTTGAAGAATCTAGTTCTATTAGTTTCCCAGATAAACGAAATTTTATATTTAAGTCATATGGGAGTTGTCAAGTTCTCCATAGAAAGTCCGCCCGTTATACTCTAATTATTCAGATGAATGTCAAAGTTTTTCAAGTAAAATTTGAAGATTCTAGGTCTAATAGTTTCTAAGATATACGAGTTTTTCTAATTAATTCATATGGGGGCTCCACGCTCCCCATATGAAAGTCTGCTCGTTTTCCCCCAAAATGTTCAGTTGAATATTAAAGTAATTTATGCAAAATTTGAAGAATATAGTTCTATTAGTTTCCCAGATAAATGAATTTTTGTATTTAATTAATATGGGAAGTGACAAGTCCCCCATTTAAAGTCCGCCAATTTATTCCCAAAATATTAACATGGATGTTAAAGTTATTTGTGCAAAATTTTAAGATTCTAACTGTAATTGTTTCTAAGATAAACGAGTTTTTGTTTTTAATTTATATGGGAGGTGCCACGCCCCCTAATGCTAGTCCGCCTACTTTTTGTCCTAAATAATCATATTGACACTAAAGGGGCTCCGACAAATTTTGAGGAATCTAACTGTTATATTATCTCAAATATACGGATTTAATATTTTCTAATATAGGCTTGGCACCTCGCCCACTTGAAATTTCAAAATAAAAAGTAGCCTATTACCTATTCCAGACATACTGGAATACGCTGTGAAAATTTCAAGAAAATCGGTTCAGCAGTTTTGTAGTCTATAACGTTCAAACATACAAACATGCAAACATACAAACAAACACACATTCATTTTTATATATATGTATATATATAGATATAGATAGATTTATATAGTCGTAAGGCAATCTTAAATAATGGTTCTAAAATGTTTTGAAAATATTTGCAAAAACCTTTGGCAACTCATAATTTTTCTTTTTTTCTAAACAACATGCGTAATTTTTCTACAATTACGAAATCAATTTATTTTAAAAAGCTAATTTCTTTATTTATTTTTTTCTAAATCTAAATATTGATTAAGTTTCTTCTACATTTACATATATCTGTATCTTATAGTTGTTTTCGAAAAAAAATTAAAGAGAGAAAATGAATCAAACGTAAGAAGAAAAAAAAAAGTTCAAATGTTATTTTCAGTATCTCTGTTGTCGGTTTGGCTATCATTTTCCGACAGCAAACCGAAACACCAATCATTCTCTATTATTTTACATGCAATGCGGAAATTTTACAGATGCTGTAACTGAAAAAAAAAGAATTAAAGTTTTCTTTTTTTGTTTAAATATTTGTTTTGTTTTATAGCCTTAACAAATTGAAAAAGAAAAGAGTAAAATTGTTCAGATGAAAAACTGTAAAGGCTAAATACACATCAAAGTCCAAATAGACCATTTACTCATGTCGATTGTACGAGGCAGAAAAGTTTATAAAAATTTAATTTTATTTGGTCGAGTAGCAGAAAATCGAACAGAGTTTTGTTTACTTTAAGGAGTGAGTATATTTTGTGCATTTTTATAAAGAACCCCAACGATTCACCACTTCGAACACACACGAAAAAGCTTTAAAATTAAAAAAAAAAAAAACTTAAATTGTTCTAGTTTTTTTATATTTATTTCGTTTAATTTAATCGTTAAAATATTTCTAAAGGAAATTTGTACAGAGACTTTGTTTATGTAAAAGTTTATGGAATTATGTATATATGTATACAATAGGCAATATAAATACATATGTACATAAGCAATTAAATAGTTTCTGTTTATTATACTTGGAGGTCTTTTTTTAACGATACCAGGGGTCACTTTTTGTATTAAAAATAAATTTGAATTGAAAAAAAACACACTCCAGTATTATGTATTTTAATGAAGGGCCAGTTGTTGAATGTGTATACGATTACTAATACTAGTTTATGAAAAAATTAAAATGTCTCAAGATGCATTAATGTAAACGACACTTCCGTTTAACTTGTTCTCATTTCTAATAGCGGATATTTATTTATATTTACAACTTTTTGTTATCGCAACCTAAGCTATCAAATTGTAAATTTAATTTTTGTAATAACGACCGTTTTAGTGCACAACAGATCTGAATCCCTGGTGGGAATTGAATCCCGACTAGTAGACTAGCATACTACCAGATATTAATTTTATTCAAAATTCTTTGAAAGTTATTTACTCTACTTAAGAGTTTTGTTGTATATTTGTATTAATAAATGACATATCTTTAAATTTTAAATAAATATTTGCAATTTTAAAAAAATTGTATAAATATTTGCAAATTTCTTATTTTTTAAATGTATTTATTATTTTTAATTTAATAAATGCATTGTTATTTTTAATACAATTAACAAACTTATCTTGAAAAAAAATTCCTGAACTTTATCAGTAAATTATTTCTTATCATAATTTAATTATACATTACAGTCGAGTGTGGCTATAATTTACTCCAAAGTCCATGGAAATGGAAGAACATATATGCTTTACATTGTAACATAACTTCCCAATCTCTGCATTATATATTTTGTTTTAGACATTCGCATATTTTACTCTGTCGCTATGCGCAAAGCAAATCGAATCAGTTGCTTAACAGCATAGCTTGTAAATAATTCAATATCATTCCAATACTCTTGATCATTAGTGATACAACTACTTCTAAGTAAGACAATTGGTATGAACGTTTACATTATGGCAAATTTTAAATTGGATCTAGTTTAGAAACCTATAAATCAATTGTTTAGCAAATTTTACCTTGTGCCCTCAAAGCAAATCGAATCAGTTGCTTTTCAGCATTTTTTTAAAATAATTCAAGATCATTTCAATACTCTTGATCATTAGTGATGCATTATACAACTACTTCTATGTAAAACAATATGTAAGCAGAAGTCATTACGAAATAAATTATGTTACAACCGTTTTCATTATGACAAATTTTTATCTAGTTTAGAAACATATAAATAAATTGAATTCGCATATTTTACATTATCGTTATGCCCTCAAAGCAAATCCAATCAGTTGCTTTTCAGCACTTTCAGAAAATAATTCAAGATCATTCCAATACTCTTGATCATTAGTGATACATTATAAAACCACTTATATGTAAGACAATAGGTAAGCTGAAGTCATTACGAAATAAGTTATGACCGTTTTCATTATAACATATTTTGGATTGGATCTAGTTTAAATACCAATTAAAATAATACAAGATTTAATTAAATTAGGAGTTTAAAGTTATTTCTAAGTTTAGGGCTTGCAAAACCCCCGTCAGAGTGATGAGAGTCAAAAATGGTCTTTTTTTACAGATTTAACTTTATTATTTAGAAAGGTAGTCCTAAATTCAATGACGTCTTTTTTATAAGTATTGGAAAACTGAAAGATCTTGTTTTAAAATCAATAATTCTGCATAGAATACAATCATTTGTGTTTGTCAAAGAATCGGATGTTGACCAAAATTTTTGATTATTTGAAGATATATTGTTCAGAGTAGAAACAAGATTTGGAAGGTCTTTGGAACAGGGACTTATTTAAGTTTAGGTTTGAAGGAGGGCCACACAAGTATGTGTGTATTCACAAGACCAACAGTTGATCCAAAGTGAAAAGTACTATTGTCCGGAACCAATGCCTCTAGTATCATGTAGATTGTTCTGAAAGAAATAAGATTCAAAACAATGAAATCGATACCGCGATAATGCGATATCTTCTTGCTCCTCTTTGCACCATCGGCAAGTGTTATCATTACATAACTTAATTTTCTTATGGAAATATTTAAGCTCTTTATGATTATATATACAGGGACTTGTTACTTCTGAACTGTTTGGAAAAAGTTTTCTTAAAAGATTGTGTAAATTAATGCGCCATTGTTTTCATATACGTAAACTAATACCAAAAATTAAATCTTCTTTAGCTGTTACGAAATGCCCTCCCAGTACCTGTTTTCATTTTAGAAAATGAGGTTTGGCCAAAACTTAACTGAAAAGTTTAAAAAGTAATTTGAAAAGTATTTTATCTTTATTATCAAAATCTATTAAATCCATTCTTTCAAGCTTATATATTTTTGGGTCGATTATGTATTTCCGTTGCCACTTCAGTTGCGTTGCCAGTTGCAGATGTGGGTACTGGACTTGGAAACTTTATGTTTTATTCTAGACTGAAATCATTCTCTTGTTTTGAAGCTGGCAACGCAAGTGAAGTTCGATTGCCAAACACAATCGGCTCATTAATGTCTTTTTGAAATTTGTTATCTCGATTTAAGCTATTACTTTTCATCATAACCTGTTTCTACTGTATTAAAAATATGAAAAAATTATTTCTTTACGAACACAAAACAAACACATTTAATTTTATTAAATTAATAATGTGTCGAAAAGATTTCACCAAATGACTAAAGAAAAACTCATGTTTATTTATAAAGAAAAATAATATAATATTTTAAAGTCACATATATTTTTAAGACTACTAATTTAATTATGCAAGATATTTAAGAAATATGTATAAAATATAAAATATTTAAAAAAAGTTACCAGAAATCTTTAAAAAACATTTTTCATAAATTTTTTTCTAGTTCGTGTTGTGGTTTGGTTTTAATTTAACCAATAGTAGCAGTATAATTTTAATAATCCAGTAGGCAAAAAAACAAATATACCAGGGTAAATTTGGTAAAGATTTATAAAAAATAGTATAATTTTTTGGTGTTTTAGTTGTGGTAAAAGAAATTATCCAAATTAGTTCTTTTATGTAGATTAGAGTAGGAAGAGTTCGCTTTATTATTATTGTCTATTTAAAGTCGTTTTAACAGACACATACACAATTTTATTTTTTCAACAGAAAAAGGGGTTTGTTTTCACAATGAATTAAAGGGTATTTTTTTAAATTTCTTCTTCATATAATTAAAAAAAATAATATTAATTATTTTTTACTTTTTTTTAATATCAATCTTTTTAGTTAATTATCATTGATTAGTTACATTTAATAATTTTCTTAAATTCTTTATAATTTTCATTAAAACGGAAACTGCGTCATTTGAAATATTCGTAAAATTTAACAGACGATACAGATTTCATCTCATAATTTTTTGTTGTTTATTTTATTATGTTTATTATAATTTATATTTTTATTATTAAAAGTTGTTGTTGTTTTTGTTTATTAATATATAATTTTTCTTTCCACTATTACACTCTCAAATTGTTAAAAAAAACAACATTTACAATTCACGGTCAAACAAAGTGTTATCTTTAAGATTTTTTTTTTATTTTTTTACTCTCTTTTTTTAAGAATTAAATTTATTCCACTAATACATTTAACAAGACGTTTGGAGAAATATTTAAATATCATTTAATGTTTAAAACAAAACAAAAAATGTAGAAATGAAAATAAAATAAAATTTATTAAAAAGAAATTCACGAAAAACACGCGACTACGTAACGTCTAAACATTTTTACAGTCAGACATGCTCAAGGAGACTAAATGTGAAAATAAAAGCCGACGAGGAAAATTCACTTGCTCCCGACAATACGAATTACTACAAACCAACAACAATAAGCAAAACAATAACAAAATACACCAAAACACCAACAAAATACCGAACTAACTAGTGGATGGGCAAAGTAGAAGAAGAAAATGAGGAAGCAACAACAACTACAATAATACAAACAACTATATGATGTTGTTGTCGTTGTTTGATTATAATAGAGAAAAAATAATATTCACTCACACATACATATAAATAATTGGACCTGATATTAATGAAATGAATACAAAAGTATCTGAAGAATACGGGTGCCTCAGCTGTGATGTGTTGATTTTTTTTGTTGTACTGAAACGGATACCAATTGAGCGAGAGGGGTTCCACAACAGAAATGTAACAAAACTCCCTGTATGAGCTGTTAAATAAAATTGGTGGTGTTGTTGTTGTTGTTCTGTTATATTTTACAGTGATTAACATTTAATTATGATCAAGAGACATTTTTTACGAATAAGTATGAAAGTCAATATAGTTTAACTAGAGACTTCAATCATCAGCCCATTTCACACTCTAAACAAGCTAAGAGTGGTTCCTTAAATTTCAGTCTAAAGTAATATTTTTGAAAGCTTAATACAAAGTTATCGTTTATACTTCTAAATTATAAACTTTCGCTATAAATAGGCTAGGCAATAGTCTAATCCCTGATCAAACAATATGCTAGTTCATAGATTATAAGACAGTCCATTATAAACTGTCTTCTTCAATATTATAAACCCAATAAACCCAACGATATTATAACGATATCGAAACGATATCACTTAGGTGATAAAAAATATCATAAGTGATAGTCGTTCTCGTATCGAGAACGATAGTATTTACGTACTAAATGGTACCTTTCCTTATGATATCGTTTTTCCATAAAATTATGATATCGTTTTCGCTATCATAATTTCCAAAAATAATGATAGTTAAATCGCCTTTTTCAGTTTTTTTCTGTATGCTCTTTTATTCTTAAAATTTAATTTAAAACGCTATTTAACTTAATATTTCGCTATTATACATATAAAAAAGCCTGAAAAGGGAAGGATTGCATTCATTTGTACATATTTACATACATACATTAATACATATTTTAAAGTAATCATATTTTTCATCACATTATGCATTGTCTTGCAAATACCTGAAACTTTTCAAAATTGCATACATGTCAACTTACCACAAAACTGAAGTATCGAACGAAATTCGCGTATTTATTTGGATTATTTATCAATAATTTAGTTGATTTTATTTTAATATCCTTTTTAGTTTTCTTATGTTCGAAAATTTTTATTGAAATTATTTTTATGTTTGAAGTTTTTTTCAAATGTTTGTATTTTCTTAATTTTTTTATTGGAAACAAAATAATATAAAACGATATTATAATAATATCGCTTTAAATAATGAAATATGATATCATAATCGCCCTTTAAAAGCAATACCGTTTTCGCTATCATATCGTTCTTTGGTTTATTGGGAACTTTTGCTCTTGATAAACAATAAACTAGTCACATGCTAGTGTATAGACTATAGGCCTGTCTAGTCCATACACTACTTAATAGACTTATCTTTTACAATACTATCCTAAGGCTAGTTCAAAGAAAGTATCTAGTCCATATAGTTGTTCATAGATAAGTTCAAAAACTATGCAGGGTAGTCTATATACTAGATAGACTAGTCCCAAGACAAGTCTATATATTAGTCCAATAACGAATCGATAGACTATTTCATATTTGATCCATCACATCAGGTTTTTTTAGATATCGTGTCACGAAGTTTAAAAACCCCGTTCTTGGTCAATATACCTTTATTTATAAAATCTGTTATGTCATCTGAAAGCCCAATCTGCCGACTTCCAAATAAAGTTTTAATCACTGTTATATCTTTTCCTTTCTTTGAGATAACAAAACCCAGTTTCGGATTCAGCCATGTCCAATACTATAGAAAGTTATACATTGGTCTCTGGATTCAAAATTTGTTGCCTGTTTTATCTAATCTATCGCGAATTAGAAAAAAGCGAATCATCTTTGTTTGGAAAGAAAGAAATAATCCGATCTTAATATTTCAAATAATTGTTGCGAATTTATTAATGCCAATAGGAGTTTAAAATTGTAAAGGTTAATTATTAAGACTGTTCAGAATACAGGATGGGGAAAACTTTATTTAATATTAATTAATACAAAGTTTGGACAACTTCAGACTCAGCCTCCTGTATATGAGATCCAAATTCAAAATTTACAGGATATTTTTTGGTCGAAATTTCAGCACTTGCTTCTAATAGTTGCTTCTTATCACAGGACTTTTGTATATCTGTCGTTTAGTTTCAGGAACATTTTGTTTCTTAAGAAATCTATTAAAACTTTTTTTGACAACTTTTGCTAATAATGACCCTTAATCAAATGACCCTTAATGTAAAAACAAAACAAATAAGAGAGAAACCGAATCTAATTGAAAATGCTCACTACAAACACATGCATACAATTGAACTACATATAACAACAAGAATGACAAACGAATAAGAACAATTCTAAAAGTCTAGTAAATACAAACGATTCATCATTTCCAACAAATAGAATAATAAAAAACTACAATTGAAACTGTTAAATATTTCATAGAGGGAGCACTTAACGAGATGAACAGCACGTTCAAAAATTTAACCCCATAAAAATGTTTGGAATTGATAAAAAATATTATCAAACACACAGATACACTCACACAGGCACATATTCTGACAAAGAAACGAAAACATTAATCAAAATGCTATATTCAAGAAGGGTGCAAAAGCACAAAGAATAATAAATTCTTTACAGAACGAAAGAAGAAAAAATATGATAACATAATTTACTCGCATTTAGAAAACGAAGCTAAACAAACTATGCACTAGATAACATAATGTTAAGTAACATAACAATGTTAATTACATGTGTATCCCAAGTGGATCACAATTTTGTTAAATTTTTATACTCAAGAATTTTTTTTATTTTTTTATGTATTCTCTAAATTGTTATCATGTGTTTTTTTTGTGATAACAATTTATAACAATATCTATTGCTATTTTATATTAGTAAAAATTTGAACAAAATTATAACAATAATAAAAAATTAAGTGGGAAAATAAATACAACTGTTTGATTTGTTCGTTATCAGTTCATTTTTGCAAAGCAAATACATACAAATGTAAACAAACTACAATTTGACAATGCTAAATGAAGTTAAATAAAAAATATTTATATATTTAATAATAATAAAAAAAACTGCTCATATTACTGTTATTATTACTCTTATATGTTACAATTTCTTTTTTTTTTGATTTTGTTCATTTTTTATATCAAATGACTCATTTAAATAAATGTCATGGTTAAAGGGGTGGCAGGCAAAAGTTCTAGCAAAATAAGGGAAATACTTGGATATGAATAATTCAAAGTGTCATATTGCACTTTTACTTTCTAGGATTTAGAAATGACTCATAGACAACGCGATTTAAGGAGCTGTGTTAGTAATTTTATATGGAAAGTATGTATGTATTTTTGTAGTACAAAAAAGTTAGCCAACAAACTTACATAATTACTGTAGAGTTTCCTTTAAAAAAGGATGTTGAAAAGGGGAGATAATATCGTAGATAACTTACCTAAAAAGAAAAATGAATAAAAAATATATTAGTTTTTTGGAATATGTATTGTTTATTAAAAATAGCACTTAAAGACTAAAATTACTGAAATATTTTTTGGAAGAAAGGAAGTGGACGTATCCTAGTAAGCTTTTTTCTCAAATGAGTGCGTAATACATTTTTTAACATTTTATTACGCTGGGTTATGCAACACTATTATATTTACAGCGGGCGCGGATCCAGCTCTTATTTTATTATTATTTTTAATTCTTTCCTTTCTTTTCATATTATTTTTAAATTTTTCGTTTGGAGTGGGGAATTTTATATTTTATATTTCCTTGGATCCGCACTTGATTAATTCATAAATGTGAATAAATCGCATATTCTGAAACATTCTGAAAGTATGTAACCTTGATGGTAGACCCTATCTTGGTGGGATTGCAATCCCGGGGAAAAGAGGTGCAACTAGTACCTGTAGTCTGCTGGGACTATAAACTGATGATGATCAAATGTGTCCTCGGCCTTTCCCTGAAATGGTTTGACATGGGATCGAACCAGAGAACCACATAATCTGGTACCACGGGAACCAGTAGCCCGCAGAGCAGAGTTTCGGACTTTGTCTTGTCCCGGTTATTGGAGAGGTGCCTTCGGGTTGCAGGTGGTGACTGTGGTTTAAACCCAAATGTCGGTTAAAATACTGATGAGGAGCGACTGTGAGGCTAAGCGTTGAAAATAAGTTGGTGTTAATTATATATGATACAGGATGAATGCAGGGGTATACCCGCCCGTATACCTAGAGTGAGTGTGTCGGATGTTGTTCTCTATGAGTGTGTCGAATGGTTGAGAAGTGTGCTGGGTTGAATGTTGATGGATGAAAGGTATCATATACAAGTGATAACATTGAATTTTCCTTCCTTGTCCAGGTATGTTCTGTTCATTCCAGATTAACCATTAACCACACAGTGTGAGTAAGAACAAAGTCTTCAGCTTATTTGATGAATTCCTGTTTCGGCCTATCGAATACGCTCTAGGTGCTGTTGCCGACTCAACAGAGGCCATCCCATCTGTGTGGTTGTAAACGGAAGTGATATTTTTGCATCTCGGAAGTCAAGAAAAGTGCTTGTACATGGACCGGCAAAATTATGAACAAAAATTGCCACCTGCGTGCAAGATAAAAAATGGCGTTGGTGAGTCGTCACAAAATCTCACCCTGTGGGTGAAAAAGACACCGTGTTATAATGCCGACACGACAGATTTTCATGTAAAGCACTTCGATATCTTAGCTTGAATGAAATTTCTTCAATACAATGTTGATTAAGTACGATTTATATTAAATTCCGAAAAGGGTTATAAAGAT